ACTTCAGAACCTGTTGTCGAATCCAGAACCGAGGAAGCAAGTACGCAGACGTGAACCGAATCGAAGGATCCCGGGTCTCGCCTGACGCCTCTTGTGCCTGACGTTCTTTGTGCATCGGTGGAACCCATGAACTCTGATTTTGTGCCAATGTTATTCTTGAATATACTAATTGAATGCTGAATGTTTGCTTTACAAAATTAATATTTGGCTGAAAACTTAGGTTGTCGTTTTTGTTTAGAAAGAATTCTGCCAAAACTTAGTTCCTGAAAGAGATGGGGCAAATTCAAATAGTATACTTGTTTTGCTTGATTTTAATTGTTTTTTGTCATGCAGATTTGCCTGTGGATCAACCGAAAACGAATGTTTGGGTGACCTTAGCCAAGGCTGCTGGATCGGATACTATATGTCTGTCTAATTCGGAACCAGAAAAGCCTTTTTCAACCTGTTTGGTTGGTGTGCCAGTGAGAGAGTTGCCTTTGATCAAAAAACAATCTAATGGTAAACCAGGTGGAATTGACAATGGAAACAGTCCTTCCTTCAATTGGAACATTTGGTCCAAAAAACTCCTTAGGGCAGCATCTGAATCTCAAGAATTGGAAATCCTTGGTTCTTTGACCATGGATTTTTGTTTTACTTTCATGACTCGTGCCTGGCAAAAAGGTGATCCCCCAAAGTTCAGTGTTACTCCTCATTATTTTGCATATAAAAATTTGAGTTTTTGGTGTAATGTTTCGAATAGTTGGGATGTGTTTCCGGAGACGGATCAATATCCACGGCAATTGCCGAAAGGGTATTGGCTCATCTGCGGAGACAGAGCTTGGCAAGGCATTCCAGCTCACCTTGAAGGTGGCCCTTGTAGCATTGGTATGCTCACCATAATTGCCCCCTCTGCAAAAGCAGTGATGAAAAAGAAACAAAGGAGAACAAGAGCTGTTCCTCATTATGATGAGAACTGTCAGAGTGATTTTATGCCTTGGAATGCCGCCAGAAGGGTTTCAGCAGGTATCTTTTTACCACAATTGGCTTCAGCAGTGGCATTGAGACAATTAGATCGAGTTGGATGTTGGCTGAGCAAACAAGCTAATGCCACATCCTCCGCAATCAGTGATATGTTGACCGATGTTGATAGTATTAGACATGCTACTCTTCAAAACAGAGCAGCCATTGATTTTCTTTTACTGGCACAAGGACATGGTTGTGAGGAATTTGAAGGATTGTGTTGTATGAATTTGTCTGATCATTCTGAATCCATTCACAAAAGCATTCAAAAATTAAAGGATCTGACAGCCCAAATTAAAGAAGATGGAGGTTCCTGGCTGGATGATTTGTTTCAAAATTGGAATTTTGCACCTTGGCTAAGGCAACTTTGCAAGATAGGTCTTTACGTATTAGGTGTTCTAATACTGATATTGATAGTGGTACCTTGTATACTCTGTTGTGTTCGGCGAATGATGAACAAAACAGTCCGAGAAGTTTTTGTCATTCAAGCAGGAGAATTAGGAAGTAGAAGCACGGAGAGTGTACGAAATCTTACGAAAGCAGTAGATGAAGGTATTGACATGAACGAAGGTTTTGAATTAAGGCCTTGGAATCGACCAGAGTTTTTTGAACGATAACTTGTGACTGTTGCCGAACGTGAATCATACCTCTTTCAAGGATTAGGTTTTCACAGCATTAAGTTGCTGTGCCGTAATATAGCAATACTTCAGTTTAGTGAAAATATGTCTTCAACAGATAATAAGCAGAAATTTTGCAATAGAGCTATGAAACGCAAGTAGTAAGCGACAAGAAAATGAAAGTTTCTGTGTCAAACAGAGAGGGGGAAATGTTGGAATCCATAAGGTTAGAGGGTTTTTAGCAAATGGTTAAAAAAGTATAGGCCTCAGACTGAAGTTTTGTTAGCATTGCAAATGCAAGCAGAAAAGTTTCCCATGCAAGCAGAAAAGTTTCCCAAGCAGTAGACGTGACAAATAACAATAGATCTCTGTAGAATTGGTTTTAGGATGGCAACAAGGTTATTTAATGTATATCTTTAGAAGATTAGCATGAATAGAGCTCTGTTCATTGTCTCTTATGAACCAGTCTTTGTTTTAGCTACGATTACGTATACTTTGTGAGATTGGATAGAATGCTTGTCAATATGTGTTTTCTGAGTGTGATTGGCTGAATTCTAGATTGAGATGATTCTATGTATTGCTGTATGAGCCCTACTGGAGGAGACATTTTGGGGTGGATCAGTGAGCTGTCATGTCTCCTTTTTGTATTATGAGACTGATGTGCTGGAAATAAAATCAAAAATCTTTTCACTGGTCTGTTTGCAATGTTATCCATATTTGGATATTTTGCCGCGGCCTAGTGGGTTCCTTTTTTAAGACGTGGGTTCCTGACACAACTGGACTTATATCTACCCATCCCCCGGCAGAATTCCCTGGTTGAATTCGCAGCAATTGTCGCCGGCCTATGAACAGGATGTTGGTCCGTTCTAGGCGGGCCTGAACGAATGAACTAGCTTGTTCAGCAGGCATGGTCCAAAGGTGACTGCTAGAAGCAGCAATGCCAGCAGACCTATTAGGGTAGAAATCAGAGTGGTTAGCCATGGTGATTGATTGAACCAGGACTCGAACCAACCCTGTTGGGCTTCCCTGTCTTTCTGTCTCTGAGCCAGTCTGTTTCAGAGTTCTGCCATGGAGTCTCTTACGACTCCTGTGTGGTCTGCGTAGAAGCAGCACTCCTCTTTCAAGGCGGCACACAGGCCTCCTTGCTACATGAACAGGAGGTCCAGACCTCTCCTGTTCTGCAAGACCACTTCTGAAAGTGAGGAGACTGACTTCTCTAGAAAGGAGATGGATTTCTCGATCCTTTGCAGGTCCTCGTCGATGGTCGCTTGCAGCTGGGACAGTCCTTGGTGCTGGGTCGCTAAGGCTGAGACACCCGTTGCCGTTCCTGCTGCTCCTAGGCCGAGCAGCATTGCGATAGTTACACTGTTATTATTTCTCTTTTGTGGATCCGGCTGGGTTCCTCAAGAAGATGGTACACATCTTTGTCTGAGTGGTACAGGACCCTAGGAACAATCAGAACTTGGACACAAAAGTCATTAGAGTCATCAAATTTGGCAAGGAACACACAGGGACTCACTCCAGATCTCTGGCAAACCCACATCCCAGATGTGGCTGGGACTACCCACTTATTGGTTTTCCTGTTAGGCCTGACAATTTTGGTGCAGACGTTGCCTCCCCGCTTGGCTAGGGTTGCATTGCCAAAGCATCTGCCCTGGCCTGTGACCTGACTCAGGGTGATTCCTTTGCGAGGGGTATCCCATCTGCACTGGTGAGGGGCGTTGGCTGTGGAGTAACTGAAGGGAGTGTTTAGAGCGACTCCTTCGTAAAAGGGGGGTTTGATATCGTAACAAAGCCATCAGGACTCGGTTAGGTTAGGGTTGGATTCGTTCAGGGATACAAAGGTAGCTTCTAACATACGAAGGATTGGGTCTGAGTCCGACCCGGCTAAACGGCCTGTCTGAAAGGCTTCCGCATGGCCAGTTGGGACGTTGCGGACCCCTGTGGGTAAGGGTTTAGGGTAGGTTACGTTTCTCCCTTTTGGCACGCTTTTAATCGCTTTGTTGGGTCTGACCGCTGGGGTGCCGGCGGTTGGAGCCTGATAATTCGCACATTCACCCTCTTGACCCTTGAAGGACTACTGTCCACGTTCTGCCTACGGCCCAACTGGGGTGATGTGGCTGCAAGGCTGTCATGTTATAACTAGTGCATTTCCGAATTTTTGGGACTTTATGGCGATTTCAATAGAAGCTTCCATGTATGAAGACGGGTGTTTTGCAGCCGCTGGGTGCCCAGGTGAACTGTAGGAATTTGTTGGGCTCTTGTGGATCCCACCCCGGCCCTGATGGTCTGGCATCTGTAATTATGGTTTCGCAGCCCCAGTGCCCACAATATCCCCACCCTGGGTGATTGCAGTAGCTTTTCCCAGGGTTTGAAGCTGGGCACCAGTAGGATAGGTACATGTGTGTAGCTTGTGGGGAATTGGGGTCTACCTTTGGTCGTCCTGGAAACAGGTCGGTGATGCGGAGCACGAAGGGTGGGGTGTTTGGTGTAGTGATTTCACTGAGCACCTTGTCGCTACTAAGGTGTCGCATGACTCACCTGAATGGCCGATGGGGGTAGTGGTCTGGGCTGGCTTGCCCTCTGGCTACAAGCCCCAACAGCAAAATCACACAGAAACATCCTTGATGCTTGGGTCTCACCCGTGCGGGTCTCTAGGGCGCTGCCTGACGGCTTGGTGGTCTGTCTCTTTCCTCTGGAATGGGAATGTAGGCGTCACGAGGACGTCCCACGAGCAGGTCCTGTAAACAGAAACTCGCAATTCTCGTTAGTCTCATTCTGCTCGTTATGGAGGTCGGGCTTAATTGACTTAAGTGGACACCACCTGATTTTGCCATCCCTTTTGACAGCTGCGTACCCTCGCCCCGTGAGCATCAACCTCCATCCCTGTTCCCATTTGCCTAGCTCATTTCTGATTACCACCTGAGGGCCCTCCTCTAGCATTCGAGTGGCCCAGTGTTTTTGAACGGGACTGTTTGTTTCATCTCCCCTAGGGAATTGATTCTGTGCTAGCAAAGCGGTTGCCAGCATACGCGCCTGATCTCCTGGGGGAATGGAATTGGCAAAGCCCTCTGCTGTCGCCAATACTTCTAGCTTGGTTTTCAGGGTCTGATTTGCTCTCTCAACTATGGCCTGCCCGGTACTGTTATACGGGATACCTTGCACTAATGTGATGCCCCATTTTGAGGCGAATTCCTGTACTGGTTTGGAGGTGAAATTGGAACCGTTGTCCATCTTGATCTGCTTGGGGATACCAAGCCAAGCCGTGGCTGTCAGCCAATGCTGAATTTTGGCCTTGGAGTTTGTTTTGGCGTGTTGTGTGGCTATGATCGTTCCGCTATAAGTGTCTGCTGTCACTGCTAGCCATGCTCAAGGCTTCAGCAGTTCACACCAGGTGAAGTCTGACTGCCAGATCTCTGAAGGCTTGAGGCCTTTCGGGTTGACCCCACAGGTCCATAGGGGTGACTTCTGGCAATAAGCGCAAATGGCTACCACATGTTTCGCGTCCGCTGTCGGGATTCCACATCTCTTCGCCAGTGCTTTGGCTCTGATGTGGAGCGACTCATGCAGCTGACAAGCTTCCTGCAACATCCATACGCCTTTTGCTGCGGCGTCCGCTTTGTCGTTGCCGATCTGGAAGTAACCCTTGACTGGGTCATGGCTGTTGATGTGAATAACTGACATGATGCCCTGTCGCGAGGAGAGTGCTTCTTCCAGCATGAGGGCTGCTGCTGATGTTGACCCTCCTGGTCCTGCCACGGCTAGGCTGAGCCTTGCCACGAATATAGAGTCCGTTACGATGTTGAGGTGTTCTTCTTGGAAGAGTCCGCAGGCCAAGACCACTGCTGCTGCTTCCAGTTGTTGTGCTGACAATGTGGGGTCACACACTTTGACGCAATGCCATTGCTCTCCTGCCTGCCACACTGCTGTTGCAGTTGAAGTCGTGGAGGAAGCGTCTGTGAAGACCGTTGGTCCTGGCTGCTGTCTGTCCTTGACCTTTGGCGGCATGTCCATGTCGACTACGGTCAGCAGCTTAGTCCAGGGTGGCTTGGAGGAGTAGGAGATTTCTCCTCCGAAGCCGGTGAGAGCAAGGGCTAGGTACTCCGATATTGTGGCTGACTCCGAGGTCAGTTGCTTGCGAAACGGAAGGTAGGTGCTTGTTGGCTCTGTCCCTAGGTGTTTCAAGGCAAGTTTCCTGCCTTTCATGATGAGGTTAGCGATGCATTCGATTCCCGGGGAAAAAGCACGAGCAGGTCGTCCGAGAACCACCCATTGAATTGGTCGGGCCTTTTCGGAAGGTCCTTGGGCCAGTGCTCCCACTCCCCCCTTTGGTGTAAAGTGGACGTATAAGTCCAGGGGCACGGCTGGATTCCACCTGGCAAGTGTGCCAGTGGACATCTGGCTTTCGATGAAGTCAAGGGAGCTCGTTGCTTGCGGCGTCAGCTCCTTGGGTTCCCAGGGGTACTTTCCTTTCAGGAGGTCATATGAAGGGTCCGTGACCTCGGGAGGAATCAGGACAATGTTGCGAAGCCACTGCAGCAATCCCACCAGGCGTTGCATGTCGTTGAGTGTTTTGATGTCTCGACTGACCTTCACCTTGGGGGGTGTCACATAGGAGCTTGTGATCCCTACTCCCAGGAAGATCACGCAGGGCCGTCTCTTGATCTTTGCGCTCGCGATCTCGAAGCCGTTGGCCTGAAGGGTTTCCGTGATTGTGGACACCAGGTGATCTACTTGGCTTGCTGATGGTGCTGAGACTAGGATGTCGTCCATGTACTGAATGATGGTTGCGTTGGGATGGGAGTGTCGGACTGGCATCAGTGCTTTGTCCACGATGATTTGGCATATAGTGGGACTGTCCACAAGGCCCTGTGGTAGTACTCTCCATTGGAAGTGAAGGTTAGGCCCCTCGCCGTTTCGGAATGCCACGGAAAAGGCGAATCATTCTCTGTCCTCAGGGTGCAGGGGTATTGAAAAGAAACAGTCCTTGATATCCAGCACCGCGCATGGCTGCCCTGTGGGAATGGCTGAGTTTTTGGGTAGCAGTGTCTGGACTGGACCCATGGGTCGGATTGTCTTGTTCACCTCTCTCAGGTCGTGGACGAGGCGATAGCCGTCTCCAGACCTTTTGGGGGATCATGAATACAGGGGTGTTCCATAGGCTGATGGAGGGTTCTATGTGACCCTTTTGCAGTTCGCGGTCGACCAGTTCCAGCAAGGCTGCCGCTCGAGGCTCTGTCAGGGGCCACTGCTCAACCCATACAGGGTCTGATGATTTCCAGGTCAGTTTGATTGCCAGCGGAGGGTGTACGGCAGTGGCCCTCAGGATAAATTTGTAATCTGGAATCCTAGCATGGAGAGAATGTCCCTTCCTAACAGGGGTGGAGAATTTTGCAGTATGTAGGGGTAGATCGCCACTGTCTGTTCTGGTCCCTTTTTCGTGTGAAGTGTTATAGCCACCAGCTGGGTGCTTTTCCATGCCTGGGACTGCCTTCCCACTCCGTTCACTGGAGGGACTTCTTTGAATTGCCAATGTCCGGGCCAATGTGCTTGGGGAATAATCGTGCAGTCTGAACCTGTGTCCGCCCAGAACTGAAACCCTATGACGTGGGGATCCTGGCTGCCATAAAGGTGGCATGTCCTCCACACCATCAGGGGTTCCTTCCCTATTCTCATGGCCAAGGCCACCCAGGGATCCTGCTTTGGGGTGCCTCCTGCTGGCCCTGTACCACCGGCGCAGGTTGTGGCAGTGGGGGGTGCGAGGGTGCTGAGGGTGCTGCATGACTCTGCCATTGCACCGTAGGCGGGGATGCAAAATTGACTGCTCCCTGTGGGGGCATGGGGTATGAGGGTCCCCTGCCCCACTGGGGGTTGCTGTAGCTGGGCTGCTGCATATTCCAGTTGGGAGGAGGCTGGACATGGCCCTGGTGCCCCCTCCCTTTCCCATTTCCCTGGGGCCTGGATCTGCATTCCCTAGCGAGGTGTCTTCCCACAGCTCCTACAGATCCCTCTCGGGCGTGCTTGGAGTGAGTGTGCTGCCAGGGAAAGCTGTGCTGGCTGGGGACAGCTGGCTGAGTTGCTGCCCTTCCCCAGAAGCCTGGGCTAACGCGGTTGTCCTGCCACTCCTGCTTAAATACAATCCGCCCTGCCCCATCGAAAAGCATGCAGCTTATTTGATCAAAAGTGAGCAGATCATTATTGCTAGAAAGGTCGTCAACAAGAGTGGGTACTACAGCTGAGTTGACCCTTTTTTCTGAAATCGCTTTGGCTTCTTTTGGGTTAACTGGGGTATATGCCCTTTGTTGGTTCCCCCCCCGCTCCGGCAACCCCCACTGGGAAAGCGTGCATGGAGGCTGCCGGAGCCCGGTCCCCACAGGCTGCTTTTATTTTTCCCTAATCGGTGAGTTTGTGTTGCAATTGTTTCCCGATATTGTTTAAAGCTTTATTCGGTTTTGCTCGAAACCGCATTAATTCTGCTCTCTCGGTTTCCGAGTCCCAGCCGGGCTTGGTCGGCTCTTCCGAGCTGTCTGAGCAGCTGTTACTTGACTCTGAGGCGGAAGTTGGCTGGCGGTACACTTCCGGTGCTCCGTGCCGTTTTGTTCGGCTTCGGCCCCGCTCCTCCCTGCGGGGGTGGTGCCATTCCCTCCCCCTGGGCTCCCCCGCCTCCTGCTGGGGGAGGTCCTTGCCCTATAAGGACCTAATTTGAATAGAGCGCTCTGATTGGTCTTACGGTCCTCCGTGGGGGCCGCCCCTTCTCCCCGCTCGCCCGCGCATGTGTTGTTAAGCAGCCTGACTGCGTTTCCTTCCCCCGCCTCCTCCCTTCCGCCCTCGCCATGTGGTTCGGCGCCATTTTTAAATGCACATGGCGGGGGCGAGTTTTTACCGATCCCGACGGGGTCCGACAATCCGGCCGCGTTCCGCGCCTCCTCCGCGAGTCCCTGCCAGAAGCATCGCACGCGCTGCTCTGCCTCCTGCGCTGGATTGGCGACTGGCGGGGAAGGGACGGATAGAGAAACCGCGGATTTTTCGGATGTTTCCGCGGGGGGGCTGGGACCCAGCGGGCTCTGCGGGAGGGTCGGGGGGTCCGCTGGGGGCTCCGGTAGGTCTCCTGGGTGCTCTCGGGGGTCTGGGCTCGGGCTCGGGAAGGGGTGGAACGCGCCTGGCCCCCGCATATTCCCGCCTTCAATCCGAACGCTCTCAGAGGCAGTGTGTGTCGCGGCCCCCACCCCCAGCTTTGGTGTAGCTAATAAACATGTACGCCTGGCTTTCCGTGTCTCCTGTTCTTCTAACGTCTTGCGTAGTGCCTCTTCTACTTTTCCCCACGCTTTGAGGTTTTTGCCACTGCCTGCGGACTTAAGAGTCCTCTGCTGAGGCGGCAGTGCACTTCTCCCGCGCTTCCAAATATAATATATTTACCGGATGTTCGATCGTCCCCAGCTCTAGGAGCCTTGCAATAGCAAGATTAGAATTCCTGAGCTCACCTTTAATTCCCCATTGCTCATGAGCCTGACTTACGACCTTCGCTGTGGATTCCATGATCCATGCGGGCCCGAGGGCGTCCCCTCCGCTGCACAAGGCCAGCTGTGCAGCCGCCGTCCTCTGTCCAGGCGATCCCTGTTCCCCGGGTGCTGCGGCTTCCCGGGTTTTGGCACCAGTTGTTGCCTTCTCGTATAAGGCAAGGCGACCTGGTTCTGAGGAAATGGCACGGCGACCCACTCTCCAGGGTCGCTTGGGCCAATGACACACACAGACACCAATGTGGTGGACGGTCCAAAGGCCTTTATTATCTCATCTCTTGGGGTTTTATAGTCTTGGGGGTCTCTACGTCACAGTGGGTCTGTCTTTACCATCTATGATTAGTAAGGGGTGGAAAGTTACTGGGTAGGGGATGGAAAGTTACTGGTATTCGGTTAAGGAAGGCTATATTCCTATGTTAATTTCTTATCTAAGGGGAACAGAGGGTCTTATCTAAGGGGAACAGAGGGTCCTGCCTTTCCGTCACATTGCGAGATCTTCCGAACGCCTGTCCCTATCTACCACATAAATCTCCCTGAGGACTTGGTGGCCAAGGTGGCCGTGGCCGAGCAGCTGTGGGAGGCCAACGCCCGACTGGTCAAGGATCACCTGGGGAAGACACTTCCAGACACAATCAAATTCTTTTTCAATGGTGGTCATGACAGCCCCTGTGCCTGTGGGGTGGCCGAGCAGTGCCAAAGAGCCATCGAGGACATCCCAAGGCTCATTCGACCCCCTGAATGTCCCCAAGTTGTCCCCAGGGTGTCCCCATTGAGCATGGAGCTCCAAGAGGTGCGACTGACTGGGAGGCAAGGGGGAGGGATGGGTCACTGTGGAGGAAGGGGACAATGGGGCATGGAGGGGACACAGGGGGTGGCA